GAATTTGTGTCGTGAGAGAAGGAGTTTCATTTTTTATTTTTGTTGGTATGAATAGTCAGTCGTTCCGGATCCTACTTGCTTGCCCTTGTTTTCATTACTTTTTTACTAACTTGCTCTAGAATCCTACTCAATCTTGTTTTATTTTATTTTTTATGTCTAAATTTTTAAAGTTGCTCCATAATCCCTGTACAGGTCACAGGCCAAAATGGCTATAGGAAAGAATTCTCAATTTTAATATTTTCTGATACATTGTACATGTGCTTATGTGTAGAAACTTTGATCTGTTTTATTGGTTTATTATTTTTAGGATTATTAAACAGCAATAAAGCATCCAATGGATTATTCCACAGTCCAGGATAAACTGGTGAAAGGATCATATGAAACTTGTAGCAAGACATGAACCTTACCTGTTGCACTCTTATCACTTCTATACATAGTCTACTTGTGATGTTAGCAACTATTCCATAGCATAATATCTTACACTTGATCTTTCCTATTTAGACTAATTTCTATTTAGACATGAATGTAAAACCATTATAATGGCTTCTGTTGCTACAGCCAGCTTCCTGACTAAAGACCATGTCACCATGATGTGTATCCATTAAATTTGTTACTTTATAAAAGATGTCTTAGACCTGTAGAGATATGCATTTTCAGAATATTTTTTCATGTGCTTTTGTTTTTTGTAACTATAGCATTTGACAATGCTATAACACAAGTAATAAGTAACAGTAGCTTTATAGTCACACATATAGTTTTAATTAACTACAAAACGATGGGAATGATGTATGATTATATACATCACTTTACACATTAACTGCTGCAGCTTTTATTTCTTCATATGCTGGACTATTATTAATGACTGCTCCTGCCCTGCTTTGTCTTATCTGGATTACTATTGATCGTTAAACTGGTATGCTTCATTAGATGCAGTAGGTACATCTTGTTGTTGCAGTGAGGCAGTCCCTGTAATTAATGGTTAAATAGTAAACACCATAAGCTATTACATTTACTATATGCTTTCCTCTTGTATATAATGGCTAAAAAACTGATACTGTGAAACATATCATTAGTATTATGATGACTGTACTCAAGAATAGCATAATTACTATTATAATAACATTCAATTGTTGATACCAGACATGGGGTCAAGCACTATGAAATGTGCTTAAACACAAACACAAGCACTTAAATGTGTTAGAAGTACCAGCACAAGCACAATCTATAGCTTTAACATAAGTGCTTAAGTACAAGAACAAGCATTTTTCAGAGTGCTTAATTACATTAATAAGTACTAGATATTCAATAAGTGTAAGAATAAAGTAAAGTTACAATTATAGTTAATTTACTGTTGCATCTAATAAACACTAACTCTGTGAATTGTTCATAATAAATGGAAACAGCAGAGAGCTTTGGAGTGATACCACTAATGGTGATGCCATTACCATTCTTCAAGCTAACAACTATCACACAATGTGCTACGAAATTTGTATACTACTGTACCACTACATGTGTACATGTACATGTTGTGGTACATGTACATGTACATGTTACATGTAGATGTAGATGTACGTACATGTACATGTACATGTAGTGGTACATGTACATGATATCGACATTTAAATGTACATGTAGATGTAGATGTAGATGTACATGTACATGTACATCTACATGTACATGTACATGTACATGTACACTATTTGTGTGTAATTTTTGCTGTGCTTAAAAGCACTTTTGTCAATTTGTAAAAGTAATTAAGTACAAGTACAAAGCACATAGATTATATTGAAAAGGTACTTGTAAGCAGCATTAAGTACTTAGAAAGCTGTGCTTATTTGTACTTAAGTACAAGCACCAAGTGCTTGACCCCATGCCTGGTTGATACATAAACTGATCAATGCAACTAACCTATACTTGTCGAATCAGTTGTGATAGTGGGGAATGATTGGGTAGTAGTAGTAGTAGTAATAGTTGTAGTGAGATTAGAAGTCATAGTAGCCTAGGATAATGAGAATATGTACCTGTTAATGTAATACAGTGTACATGTAATGTAAACACATACTAAATACTAGTATAAATGGTTCACTACTACCAGCCTCACTACTAAATACAATACTGATATTACACTGTTGATACTGAGGTACTGATATTATTCCTGTTATGTTATTTGGTTGTTTACTATACTCTATTAAGTATACACCAGACATGGGGTCAAGCACTATGAAATATACTTAAACACAAACACAAGCACTGAAATGTGTTAAAAGCACCAGCACAAGCACAATCCCTAGCTTTAACATAAGTGCTTAAGTACAAGAACAAGCATTCTCCAGAGTGCTTAAGTACATTAATAAGTACTAGATATTCACTAAGTGTAACAATAAAGTAAATTACAATTATAGTTGTTCACTGTACATGTACATGCACTAAGTCATTTAATTTACTACTGCATCTAATAAACACTAACTCTGTGAATTGTTCATAATAAATGAAAACAGCAGAGAGCTTTGGAGTGATACCACTAATGGTGATGCCATTACTGTTCTTCAAGCTAACACACAATCACACAATGTACTACTAAACTTGTATACTACTGTACCACTACATGTACATGTACATGTACATGTAGTGGAAATTATTGGACTGAGTAACGACTAAATGTACATGTACATGTAGTGGTACATGTACATGACATCGACATGTAGATGTACATGTAAATGTACCATGTAGATGTACATGTACATGTACACTATTCGTGTGTAATTTTTCCTCTGCTTAAAAGCACTTTTGTAAATTTGTATAAGTAATTAAGTACAAGTACAAAGCACATTGATTATATTGAAAAGGTACTTGTAAGCAGCACTAAGTACTTTGAAAGCTGTGCTTATTTGTGCTTAAGTACAAGCACCAAGTGCTTGACCCCATGCCTGCTATACACAAGACCAGTATCACTGCAGTGTGTAGTATCTGCAGGACTATTGGGGGCTTCACCAGTACACTCTATAGTATCACTGACCTAATGGAGGATTTTGTTGAGTAATATTTTTTGATACATATACTTGTACTTATGTTGCATAGAAAGTTTGAGCTGATACCAATCAAGTTTTGATTTTTTACTCTTTCTCCTTTCTTATTTTTCCTTCTTAGACCTGTTTAACAGGTTCATAGCTCATGCCCTTCTTTTTTGTGTGATAATAGACATACTCTCTCACTCCTATGCACTACTTTAAAGACTCTCTAACGATTAATGACATATAGACCTTTCCTATTTAATTTTAAACGTAAAAAAGGAGTGAGCCCATAAGCAACCAATATTCATTTAATAATGATAGCTACATAATTATAATGAAAGGGACGAGTAGTGACAAATACACCAAATTAAAAGCAGCTGTTTGTCACACATTGTAAATTATTTATTAATAGTATCATACATTCTTTCAGTTGGTTCAGTAGGAGCCTCTTGCACTATATCATATACTGAATTGCCTCTAATGATACTCTCATATGCAACATTAGCTTGTATCCCTCCAGCAGTAATTCCTCTTCCTGTTGCCTTTATAGTCTCATAAGCTATATTAGGATGAGTCACACTACCAATGGTGTCATATGCTTCATTTAGTGTTGTGTTGTATTCTTTTATCATTGGGTTTATTGCTGATGCTGTATGATGAACAACAGTGTTATCATCTATAATTATAAAACAAGTATTGTTGTTATTCTACCTTTGTTGTTTCTCTTTTTTCTTTTTGTAATACACAAACCTACTATAATTGCAGTAATAATAACAATTATTATTATCATTACTACTGTGGCAACACTACTCAATGTTACTGTAAGGACTGATGGACCACTTCCTGCTGATGATGTGGTCACAAGATTATTGTAATTTGTAGAAGAAAAAAGTAAAGAGAAGGAAAAAGAGGAAGACATATGCATATCACTATCAACTATATGAAAGGAAACGGTAAAGAGAACAGTATATAATGTATATGTACCAAATGAAGCTGTAGTAGTTGCTGGTGATGATACAGACATTGAAGTCACATTTATTATGTTGGTATTAATCCTGTGTATAGTTATTAATGATGGTATATTGATAGCAGTATTGTTGAACAACCCTTCTTCATAGCTTAATGCATCCA